ACAGTTGATCTGAACAAGTGGGAACTCAGTGATTCCAGACTTATGGCCAAGGAACCTGCATGAGACAGACATGGCCTCCCTGAATGTGGCTTATAGTTGGGGGGATTGGGCAGTTTCGGGAGCCTGGCAGTGGAACTGGTAATTATCCCTACTGTATAACTTGGGTCTTTGGAGCCCATTCCCTGTGGAGGGATGCCTTACTAAGCCTAAATATGCGAGGGAGGGGGCTTGATCCTGCCCCAAATGATATGACAGACTTTGATGATTCCCCATGGGAGGCCTCACCCTCTCTGAGGAGAAGATGGGGGTGGTGTGGGGAGATAGTGGGGGTTTGGAAAGAAGGGAGGGAGAAGGAACTGGAATTGGTATGTAAAATAAGATTATTAAAAAAGTTATGTCTGCATTTCATTGACCATTGTTGATTGGACTGGGGAGTGTGTTTCTGTTCAACTTTTTAAATTCTTTATCCTAAATACTAATAATTTATCATATGAAAATTTGGAGGAGACTTTCACCCATTTGGTAGGCTGTCACTTCACTCTGTTGATTGCTGTTTCTCTAATTAAGTCTTTTAATTTGATCCAACCCCATAATCAAAGCTAGCTTTTATACCCTGAGCTACTTCGAGTCCTCTAGAGGAAGTTATTTTCTATGCCCAGCATTGAAGTGTTTGTGAGAAACTATGGTCCTCACTTTCAGTAAGAATTCTGGAGACTGAGAGAAGTGGGAATGAAGCAATTTATTTACAACACTACAAAGCCAGATATCAGCTTAGAATGGCAGGCCTTTCATAGAGTGCAGAGAAGAATATATCCAAACAGACACATTACTCTTCCTCTCCTTTTTGATAGTCAGGAATATATACTCTTGATCTTAAGTTTTCTCAATAAAAAATCATGTGTGGACTCATCTCTACATTTTAAATAGTTTGTTTTAAACTTGCCATGAACATGATTTAGCACTGGTACTTTTCTACTCTGACTCTGATCTTCTACTTTGGGTGTGGGAAAGGAATAGCTCCATTAGTAGATGGTAACAAGAGTCTAGTGTTCTGTCTTCATTTGTAGCTGGCCTAAAGTTGTCTTGGGTACTTTGGAAATGAACCATCAGGTATTATTTCTAACAGTGTTTTCCCTGCTTTCTTCTATTGATTTCAAGTGTCAGCACCTGCCATTAAGGTCCACTTCAACCCAATTTTAGATGGATTTTTTTGTAGATGGTGAGAAGTAAGGATCTAGTCTCAGGCTTCTACATGGAATAACTAGCCACTGTCAGCACTACTTAATAAGGAGATTGACTATTAACCTCCACTGAGAATGACAAATGGGTTCAACGAATTTATTTCTGGGTCCTCTATTCTATTGCATTTTCCCAAACAACTAATCTGTGTGCTGGTACCACATCAGGCTGTTTTTTCCTCTATTGATCTGGAGTCTGGTTTAAAATTAAAATGTATGATGCTTTCAACATTAATCTTCTTGCTTAGGCTTACTTTGGCATTCAAAGTCTTTTATGTTTCCATTCAATTTAATGATTATTTTTTCTACCTCTATGAAGAATTTCACTGGAATTTTGATGGCTATTTAATTAAATTTATGCCATACCCCCTTTTGTGTCTATCCTGGCTATCCTGGAACTCACAATGTAGATCTGACTGGCCTCGAACTCACTGAGATCCTCTCACCTCTGCCTCCTTAATTCTGGGATTAAATGCAAGTGCCACTGCTGCCAAGCTCAAATTTATGTATCCTTTTAAAAATCCTTTTAAATTTTTATATTTTATATGAATAGATGTTTTGCCTGAACATATGTATGTATGTGCACCATGTGCATAGCTAGTGCCCATAAAGCCAAAGCCAGAAGATGTGCTGGATCCCCTGGAACTGGAGTTGCAGACAGTCTTGAATGATCATGTCATATGGATTCTAGGAATTTTACCCAGGTCCTCTGAAAGAGCAGTCAGTGATTTTAACCACTAAGCCATTTGTCCAGCTCCTGTATATTATTTTTTTTTAACAATGTAGCCATTTAAACAATACTTATTCTGGTTATCTATGAACATAGAAAGTCTTTTCATCTTCAACAGTCTTCTATAATTTCTTTCTTGACTACTTTATAGGTTTCACCATAGTTGTATTTTGAGCATTCATACATTGTTTGACCATTTCTGTGAAATTTTTTGAGTTTCACTATTTCATGACTCTTATATCAATATTATATTATTCCATTAGTCAAATGTCTTTTAAAACTCTTTTTAATTAATTAGTTTTCACAGGACTTGGAATGAACCTAGAGTTATATGTGAATGCTATACAACAAAGCCATAGCCATAGCCACTCTGATGGGAAATGTCAGTCTGTAAAGATATTTCTCATACTGATTAATGAATAAAGCACTGTTGGCCAATGGGAAAGCTAGATAGGTGGGACTAGGAGACAAGGAGGAAAGAGGAAATAGTAAGGAGGAGTCAGCATGGAGAGAAGGGAGAGAACAGAACTGCCGGCCCCCGCTCTCCGGTAAGACCACGTGGGAATACATAGAAATGGGTTAATAATTAAGACAGAGCTAGCTGATAAGAAACTAGTACCTGGCCAACAGCATTATATCAAATACAGAGTCTCTGTGCATTAATTGGGGCTGGTGTGGCAGCAAGACAAGACCAGCGGCAGGAGGAAAAACCATACTCCTTACACATCTCTTCATTTCTTATTTTTGAGACAGAGTCTCCTTACATTATTCAAACTTAGTTTGAACCCACTGTGAAGCCTAGGCTGACTTTAAACTTGCAATCCTCCAGCCTGAACCTCCTAATTAGCTAGGATTACAGCCACAGTCATAGAGGAGAATTATTTTTGTTATTTAATGTTCATGAATTTTCACAGAATCTATAATATCCTTATTTATCCAATTCTAACACTCTCATTTAAGGAAAAAAAGCAAACTACTATAGTAGTAAATATTGGACTTATAGCTAGTTTAAATATTTAGAAGTTACTCGCTTCCTGATAAGTATAGGGTCCTTCTCTATAATTGTGTTTCTTCATGTATTCAGATTTTAGTGGACAATTACTAGAACTGATACTACTTTGTTCATATTTTTTATCCTCATATTTTTTGTTTTCTTTGCTTTGAGATTATAATTTAATTACATTTCTCCTTTCACCTTCCTCCCACCAAACCCTTTCATATAATTCTTTCTGCTCTCCTTCATATTCACAGCTTCTTTTTCATTAGTTGTTATTGTATTCATGTAGTATTGTATATCCATATATATTTCTGACTATAACCTGCTCAGTTCATATGACGTTATTTGTATGTATCTTTTCAAAGCTGATTTTTTTTTTTTTTGGCACAGGGCAATCAATTGATGTGCTCCTCCCTGCTCAGGACTACCTCTCCCAATCCCAACTTTACTCAGTTTCCTATGAGTAAAGGCTGAGACCTTCTGGACTTCCCCCACCCAGTTTAGTCTGTTCATTGGTGTCATCCTTGTTCTACTCACATTTGGGCAATCATGTTGATGAGATTTTATGACTAGAGCTTCTGATGTTACTAGGAGACACAATCTCACAGAAAATGCATTGATCCTCTGGCTCCTACAATATTTCTTCCCCCTCTCCCCTAATTTACCTTGAGCCATAGGCGTGGGAGTTGTATCTTTGTAGATGTATCCATTGGGATAGTGTCCCACTACTCTTTTTAATTATTATTTACTGGTTATTATTTTCTCCATCTGCTATAAAGGGAAATTTCCTTCATGAGTGGTGAAGACTACACCTACCTGTGGCTATAAGGAAAAATGTTTATAGATTGTTGTTAGTGATTATGCTGATTTAGTAAATTAATAGTTGGAGATTCTCTCCCAATAACCATGGGTTTACTAGCATTAAATAGCTAGATTTCTAGTACCAGGCATGGTATACCTCTTGTTGAGAGGTCTTAAGTCCAATTAAAGATGTGTGTGTCAGTATTCTTTTTACAGATGCAATGAAGCATTTTATTTCATTAATTTTTACAATTGTTTTTGTGTGTATGCATATGTGCATGGATATGCACATGCCAAGGCTTGTGTGCAGAGATTGGTTTTCTACTTCCACCATGGGAGTTGCAGTAGTCAAACTAGAGTTATTGGGTCAGGAAATAAGTGCTTTTACAGACTGAGCTATTTTGCCATCCTTCATTAATTACTCTTTTGTGTTTTAAATTAGTTTATGTCTCTCTAAATATAGACAAGTTTCAAGACTTCTGATAATTCCCCTCCTGGTCTTGGAACAAAAAATAACAGCAGAGAACAGGGACTGAGAACGCATCATGCTGTGTGAAGTCCAAAGGGTAAGCAACTGATCTGAGTAATAGAAAACTGGAATTGTCAATTAAAATACAATTTTAATCAATCAATCACTCAAATTTAACATTACTTTACAGATGAAATTTTTATCTAGCCTTCTTTATTTTAGTAAGGCATGACAGATTACATGCATGGCAACAATGGCAAGTTTTTAAACATAAAGAATTTGGCTCATATTTTTCAAATAAGTTGGTTCGTTTCTATTTTAAATTATTTAAGAGCTTCCCTTTTTCAGAAATATTTCCCCCTTTTCTAAGGAAAAACATTGCTGCTTGTGAGAACAGAAAACACATTCCTTTGATGCAAACAGTGAGAAGTTTCAACACAACTGAACTTCTGGAAATTGAAAACAAAACAATTCTTAGAATATTTTTCCTAGTTACATGAAAAAAAAAAAAGCAGTTGGTGGACCAGTTAGCCCAATGCTCTTGTTCTCCAATTTCACCCCTTCTACTTTCTATTACCACTGTCTCCAGGGAATATAATGTGTGAAGTTAGTTTGTGAAGAATCAAGTTACCTGATGTCATACAATTTGCATTCAGTGGATTTCTAAGGAACCAGATAAGTTTATTATGACAAGTTGTAGCCTGCATATCATGTCATCAAAGTTTGAAGAAGGTTCAGATTTTTGTAGAAGCTGTAAGCACTGTGATAGCTTGGGCTGGATCAAGGTATTTGCGGAAGGAACGAAGGTCATAATAATCCCTTCTGGTAAGTAATATTTTTCTGCTTTACTGCAGTGATGAAAATTTATATGTGTGTGTGTGTGTGTGTGTGTGTGTGATAGTAGAAAAAGACCAAAAATGTCTATGAGCTACTCTATCTTACTACAAGATTCTTAGCTTAAATCATATTTCAGGATAGATTGTTGGATATGACAGAAAAAACTACTTTAGAAATGGTTTCTTCTCTCCATCAAGAAAACACTGAAATTGTATTTATAATAGACACATACACAAAGTATAAGTAGGAGTTATTCTTAGGATCATGTGCATAGACTATTGGTGTAAATTATTGCTTCAGGATAGTGTTGCAAAAGGTCTTTTAACTGAGTCCTCAAAATAAAGTGTTGCTGGTGTTTTTTTCTCTGTATTTTGAAATAAAACTAGTGCTACATTCTCCAGACAAACTGGGAAATCATTATTGTTGGTTTTGATCATAGTTCACAATAAATTACTGTAGAACATGAATAAACCCCCTTCTTATTTATCTGACTTCTTGGAGGGTAGGTTGTGACCAGTCACAGATTATGTTACTCTGATTATTTAAATATTACCTGGAGATTTCTATTAGAATTTGTAGTTTACATGAACCACTTCTGTCCAGTGTCCATGCAATAGGCTCTTCAAAGTTTTTCATCTTTATTTGATCATCATTTTCCTCAAGGAAGCTTAGGGTGATTTTATAGCACATTTTTTTTTTGTTTTCCACATCTTGTTTATTTCTAAGAACATATTTGTTTTTGAATTATTAGTTGTTATGCCCAAATACTACTGCTTTTATTTCTCTCTGAAAATTACCCTCTGAAAAAGACATCTCAATTAACTCTAAATCGCATCCTAGGATAAGAACTGATTAATAAATGGCAACCCTTTAAGGGAGGAAATGCAGACATATCTAGATAATCTTGAAAAAAATAAAACTTTTCCACCTGTTTGAATGTGACACAAACTACAAAGCAGAGCATGCTTAGACCTTAGAATCCTGGTTATCCTTAATGCTTATGTGACTTTGCTTGAGTTTTGTCTTTATTTAATATCAACAGAGACTATTTTATATATTCATATAAACAGTAACAAAATATTGTCAGCAACGTTACATGTTCACTTCAGCAACGTTACATGTTCACAAGCTAAATTTCAGATGTTGGGTATTAGATGCAAACCCATCCATGTGTTTCACCCTGGCACAAAGTACATGCCTACAAGAACATTTTCTTTACATTTTGCAGAGTAGAGAAGGAAGAGAGGCAGGGGTACAGATGCTGTAAAATCCAGCCTCAGAATCCTTAGAATGGTTCCTGCTTTGACCAAAATGATGTTCTGAGAAGTCAAAATACTTCTAAGAAAGCTGTGTTCCTCCTATTCTGGCATGGGAGACATGAGCAAAGTGTTTAGAGCAATTTGTGAATGCCACTTTATGTTTAGAGGGTAGTACAACACCCATTTTATTGACTGATAAGAGGATCACATCAATTTTCAAATGTGATAAATTTTCCACTGTAAAATTAGAGAAGTAGTTGAGGAGGTAAGTTGGTGGGTACAGTGTTTGTGGCATGAATGTGAGGACCCACATGCGCTCCTAAAGTAAGGCAGGATACTGAGGCATGGATAGCTCCAGAAGGCCACCTGCATGCTACACTGGAATCTGGAATGGTAAATAACAAGGAGATTATGTCTGAAACATAATGGAAGGTAGTGACTGAAGCAAGTGTATGCTGAAGTCACACACAGGAACTTGCAGGTTTCAGATACATACATACAGAAAGAAAATAGAAAACTGGAAAAATATTTCAAAGCATATACCCTTCAGAAGAAAGGATATTTTCTCCAACATTCCTTTTGAGAAATGGCCATTAAACAAACCCAGTGACACTGCAACTACATCATTACATTTGATATCACACCCACACCAGGACTTTTAGCCTATGAGATCAGGTAGATAACAGTGTCCTAACATGGCTTTGAGGACCAGGTCTCCTGATATTTCTTCACTTAATTTTCAAGAAAGAGCCAAGCCAGAAGCTGCAAAATGGAGTTTGGCATGAACTGAACTTGTACCCAAACTTTCAGTAAAAGATCTAATTCCCATGTGTTGTGCTGCTGACTGGGAGCACAGGCACTGTTTTGGACAATAGAAATGAAGTGTTGCAAGCATTGGCATGCACTCTAGCCTTAATCACATCTCCCTTTACTATCCTAGAGTAATAGGTTTCTTGAGATGATGGACTTGGGAACTCAGGTAGACTATAGCAAAGTAGACTGTAGATGGGACTCTCCTCATTTGACCTAGATTTAATTTCAAACCAAAACCTCCATTTCTATGATGAATAGCAAAGCTTTTTCCCATGGAAAGACAATATTTTGTTCAAGCACAAGTCATACCTCTAGTTGTTGTTGCTAGCAGCCATATTGATGACAGTAATAACCTCTGCATTTTTAGTCTTTTTAATCAGTTTTCTCATCTTGTTTCATTATGTTTTCATTGATGTAGTGAGGCTGAATCGATTTACAATAGCAGATATGTTTTACAAAAAAAAAAAATAAAGTAGCTAAAACTTAGAAGTTGTTTGACTTTCTCAGTCTCAGAACTTGTTATGAATCAGTTAAGTCAGGATCAAGCCTCATTCGTATAAGAATTCCAGACTATCATGTTGTTCATGGAACTAAAGTATCAAGGACACCAAACTAATGTAGTAGTTTTGATATGGGTTGAATCACTGAGAACTCGCCCATGTTTGCTAGAGGAGTGCAATGTGTTGTCATAGGTGGATATTGAGAGAATATATTCTTAAAGTAATTGAGGGAGGGCAAAACATGGGCATAGTGGAGTGGAGGTAATAATGTTTAGAAAGAAGAGGAAGAAGAGGGCTATGAGCAGGATTTCCTGAAACACTTTCCAGGAGAGTACAATTATACTGTGCAAACATCCTAATAATACTGGCAGACATTTAGACTTTTATAAAACATTCATATGTCATCTATGGAAGTAATTATTGAAGCACTTGACACTGGTATGGTGTTTATTATTACAGAAAAGTCTGTGGTTGACTCAATTGACAGCTTCTTTCCTTTCCCTCCAGGTCCAGTGTGCTATGAGCAAGTCTGGGCTTTGAACTCAGACATGGATCCTTTGCTTCTCCACTTATTCCATATAGGAGAGTTTTACTCAGTTCCTAATAAGTTAGGCAGATGAGGGCATGAGAACAGCAAGATTATGATGAGAACCCAAGGTGATAATGTGAATAAAGCATGTGGTACATTGTCCAAATCATAACAGACACAAAAACTGTGGAGAGGACTGTCCCCACCAAGGAGAGGTGATTTGTTGTCATTTAGCCAGTAATATTTATTGTACAGCAAAATTTTCTGGGAGATGCAACTCGACTTGTGTTAAAATGGAAGATTATCTTCATATTTACACACCCACACCCACCCACACACACACACACACACACACACACACACACACACACACACACTTTCCATCTGGAGGCATTTATTTTTCTTTAGCAAGCTATTTCATTATTAGACAAGACACATGACTCAAAATATGCTTTTAAAGGATTTTTATTGTTAGCTTGGTAGTGGTGGCTCATGCCTTTAAGCCCAGCTCTTGCAAGACAGACAGGCGATCTCCATGAGTTTGAGGTCAGCATGGTCAACAGAGCAACTTCCAGGACAGTCTCCAAAGCTACACAGAGAAACCCTATCTCAAAAAACAACAAGAAAATATTGTTAATCATTAAAGTTTTTAGTAGAAGTTGTGAAAATGCTGTTTTGTTCCTATTTTGTATTTTTTTTTACATTTTTGAGAATTTCAAACATGAGTACCGTATTTACATCCTTTCCAACACTTCACCCCTGTCCTCTTTGAACTCTTCCAAATCCCTGTCAAATTCATGACTCTTCTGTAACTATTATTGTTATATAAATACATATGCTGACATATGTATATGTAATTACAACCTGATAAGTCCATTTAGTATTATTCATATGTGTATGTTTTTATCTAACCACTTGGGATTCGATGACCTTTCAGGGGCCCATCCCTACTGATTCTCCTTCTCTTAGCATTCATGCATTGTCTGTAGCTCTTCATCTAGAAGTTTTGTCTTGTGAGTATTCTCCACAGATGTTTGAATGTTAGCTGGTGTTTTAATTGTGCATATCTCTTTTAGGTGACTATACTGTTAAGATTTCATAGGTACAATTTTCTGTCACATATAGAAGGCACTACTGAGACAGATGTCCCAGTCCTTTGGCTCTTTAATTTTTCTACCTCTTTTTCCACATAGCCTTGAGCCTTGAGGGAACAGGTTGGATGACAACATCCCTGTTTTGTACTGAGTGCTCCAAAGTCTCTTACTCTCTGCACATTGTCCAGTTGTGGTTCTCTGTGTTAATTACTATATGCTTCAAGAAGAAGCTTCTCAGATAAGGGTTGAGCAATACACTGGCCTATGTGCATAGCATTATGTCATTGGCAGAATTGTAGGAGTATATTTTTCCTAGGCATGTGACCTATTTAGTCTTTAGCAGCAGCAGGTATGCATTTCATCTCATGGAGTGGCCTTAAATCCAATAAAAAAAATGGTTGATTATTCAATAAAAGTTCTATAATTTTGCCATTATATCTTGCAATCATGTCGTTATATAGGTAGTGGGGTTTCTCCTCTAGAATCACACAGAGTACTTTCTAGCATATATTTCAGGAACCCTCTACAATTGTAGATTTCCATGTGATTTTTCAAAGGCCCTTTGCTGTTAATTGTCCATACCCATATTTCCTCCTTTGCATTCCCATCCGTTTCCCTATTGAAATGTATTCTAGTTTCCTCTATAGCACTATGCTCTATTTCTCCTTCCTTGGAAGATCCCCCCTCTTTCTGGTCTCTTACTAGGTGCTTATCCACTGAGAGCATTCAGACTGAAGCACCTAAATACAACACATTGGTATAGCTTGGAGATACAGCTATTTGACCAGCTCCCAAACCTGGAATGGTTCTCATGTGAGAGTGAAATGGTTTCTAAAAGTAAAGATCAACTAGGAGATCCCCTGAGAACTTCAAAACTGAGAATGGGATCTGAAATTGCAGCTAAAAAGATCTACTTTATGGACTGTAAATACAAATGGCAGGATATCTCCATCACACAAGGGACTGCATGAAGTTACAAAGAAAAATTCAAAGCTACCTCCTGACGTCTATTCCACTGAACTATAAGAAAAGCAGGGCACATTATACAGTCAGCTAAATGAATAGTGGATTGCACTAAATGGCCAGAGAACAAAGTACCAAAGAATGGGGACAGGAAGCATGTTAGAAATGATAAGAAACCATCTGTACAAGGACTGAAGAAGCAATTTGGTCTCCTTGTCTCCCATTTATCCACCCAGATGAATGTATGCTTCACCCTGAGAAAACAGTGTGAAGAAACAAACTGTTCTTAACCGTTCAATATTTGTGTTTATGTAGTAATTATTTTGAGTGAGTAGATTCAGTGGTGCATGTCTATAATCCTAGCACTTGGGAGACAGAGGCCAGGAGAGCAGTATCAGGCAGATCCAGAGGAGGCTATCCATGGGTACATAGAAAATTGGATACTACACTGGGCTACACGAGGCTCTGTCTAAATAGCAATAACTACTATCTTCACTATTATTATCTTTATTAATTTTCCATTTTATCTTACAGACAAAAGATTTGAAGCAGACATTTCCCCCAAGCCCACCATTTTTCTTCCTTCTGTTGCTGAAACAAATCTTTATAAGGCTGGGACATACCTTTGTCTCCTTGAGAAATTCTTTCCAGACGTTATAAGGGTATACTGGAAAGAAAAGGATGGCGATAAAACCCTAGAATCCCAGGAAGGGAATACACTGAAGACTAATGACACATACATGACATTTAGTTGGCTCACCGTAACTGAAAAATCAATGCACAAAGCGCACAGATGCATTGTCAAACATGAAAACAACAAAAATGGAGTTAACCAAGAGATTTCCTTTCCTCCAATAAAGAAAGGTATGCGCACATATCCTTTGAAATATAGCTTTCTAGAAAATGTGTTTGAAAATACCCAGCTTTCTATGATGTACTAATAAAAACTAACATAAGACCTTCAACAGGACCATTGCATTTATTTTACCTTGTACTTTACCAAAGTACTAAGATGGAAGAGGTTCTGGGAGAAAAGGTGAAAGTTTTTCTTAAGCTTTCTAAGTCTATCTTCTATCGTCTATCTTCATTACCCCATTCTCTCTCTCTCTCTCTCTCCTCTCTTTCTTTTTAATAATTGTTAATTGAATCAACAGAAATGACACATTAAAGCAAAAAGCTGCTAAGTACATGATAAATGCTAAAGTGGCGGTTCCACTTTTGATGACTAATTAGGAATGTTCTGCCAAACAAGCAAAGTAATTTACTTTGATCTTATTGTGTACAAAGTTCAATTCCCAAACATTGATGTCTTAGTTAACAAAATATTCAAATGAAAGAGTCAAAGCCTGTTACAAAATAAGGAGTAAACTTAGCAAGCCTTGAAATTTTCAGATTTTTGTTGTTGTTATATGTATCACTATCACAGTTAAAAATTGAATGAGGATACTGGTTGCAAGCATGCTTCATAATTAATGCATCTCTTGACAATGCAATGCATTTTAGAAAGCCCATATAGGCCTGGATAGTGATGTAGGTGGGTAGACCAGGATTAGTCAGTGTTCCAACATGGAGGGGGCTATACAGTGAAGAATGCATACTCTTTCCAACTTACTCAGAATAATTCAGATGCAAGATATCAAAGGATCCTCTTAATTCAGTGAGGTACATAGTTGAATGTGCAGAGGGCCTAGTGGTAGTCTCTCAATTCATTGTGCTGTAACTTCTGGCATTGAACAATTGTCCCAAGATCCATTGTACATTTTGAACCTGTGAGGAATGAGTATATATAAAACCTGTGAGCCTCTTGATGGTCACTGTCTGGGTCTCCCCTCTGGAATCCCCAGTCACTGCAATGATCAATGAACTCTGAGCAGTTGCTTTGGGACGGTACATGTTTTAGAAAGATATGGCCGTTTTTCTTTGAAGATTAAAATGTTTTTTTAGGACAAAAAAGGAAAGAGAAGGTTTTGAATTTCTGCTTCTCTGTATACAGTAGCTCATATGAGACTCATTTCTATAATAATATTTATATATAATTATATAATTGTGGGGCTCATATTTTAATACACTTCTGTCTATGTGAGGATATCTATGCATTCATTTGCATGCAGATATATGCATATTCACAAACAGAGAGAACTGTGAATAATGTGCATATTAATTAGCAAATTCCTGTTGTCATTTCTTGTAGTTGCCATGAGTACTGTACTTACAACTTGCTGGCATGAAAATGGTAAGTGTTAGTATGTTTGCCTTTGTGTAACATTACAGCACTTTTCTTTTTGAACATAACAATGTTTGAACTGCCTTGAGTTAATTTATAAATATCTAAATGTCTGGGTATTACTTAATAGATAGTGACACATCAAAGCAACACAGTCAACTACCAATTCAATTACAAGTGTACTTTAAGGAAGGGCACAGTGATGTACCTATTTTACCTTATTTTAACAAAGGAATTCATTTACTCATATGTCTAACCACCAAAGTTAAGTCTGGGTCTTTAAAGTCATTCAGTTACTTGCTAGTTGCTGGCATTGATAGATTTAGAGAAACTGACTTCCAAGTTCAACTTCCCTCTTAGTGGAGGATAAGCACAAATGGTGAGTTCCAGGCTTGGGAGAGAAGAACTGTTGCTCAATGTAATTACTCAGAAATCAATACCTGCTACTCCCTCTTCTGTGAGATATGCTATGATGTTAAAAAAAAGTGGATGAAACTAATTAAAGAATTTTTTTTAGACGTGCAGCAACTTCAGTTAACGAGCACCTTGGCCTGCTACACCTATCTTCTTTTACTCCTCAAGAGTATGACCTACTTGGCCATGGTCAGCTTCTTTCTGTTTGGAAGAACAGATATCTGTGGCAATAAGAAGAAGTCCTAAGGAAGTGAATGGTGGTACAAGTCAGTGACTTTTCATCCTTGACTGTCAAAAGGTGCCTTATTGGGGTCCAGCTGGATTTTCTTGCTAACTTTGACCTCTGTAAAGTCCAATGTATATCATTCTGCCACTGCATAAAAGTTTTCAAACTTTTATAAACAGTTTGAGCAACTTCTCTATAATGGAACACACCTCTTTCCTGATTCCATCCTCTTCAATAGTCTCCTCTCCCAGGAGCCTGAAGCATCACAGCTTTAGTATGTATAGCTTGCAGCTTCTGCCCATAGTCCTTGTTGACCTTGAACCAGCTAGCTCTCTGAAAATCTCCACTCTAGATGATCTGAAGAGCCGTCATTACTGCTTGAATTCTTGTCTTGTATTTCACATTAGAGACAATAAATTTTCTAAAAAAAATCCGAAGTCTACTTTTGTCAATCTTTACTTCCATTTACTAACCCTGAAAGGCACGGTATGACAACTGAGCCATGGCATTCAGCAATGGTTGACAACAAGGGTCCAAAATCACATTATTAATCTTTGTCTAGAGTCTGTGGTTGTGACATTTCCTACAATGTAGGAGGAACCACAGGCAACTGAAGAAGCCATGTTACTGCTCTTAAAGGCCATCAGACTTTTGGTCATTTGGTTTTGGGCTTTCTTATGGCAATGAGCAAATATCTAACATGACTCCAACTGTGTGTGCTCAGCTCTGTGCCCATGTTTCATGGCAGTATGTTTTCTGATTCTCAGACTGCTTCCTGAAACCTACCAGAACTTCAGTGAGGAAAAGTGGTGGAGGAGAGTGATATCAGATATTCAACTCCCAGTATCACAGAATATTCTATCCCATAGTGTTTTGTATGTTAAATGAATTAGTAACAGCAAATATAAGCAAATCCTTGAGAACCCTGATTTAGACCCTTGACCCTATCTTAGAGAGAATGAATACTGTACTCTCATGAAAAGGCACCAATAGTGGCTTCTATTCTTTTCACGGGAAGGGTGACATTGTGCAATTGGATCATGTCTTGTACTATACACCAAGCAATCCCTGATCCTCTATTAGCCCTTTGAAATCGATACAATTTGGGGCCACAGTTTACAGAGAAATAACCTCACCACTAAAGGTCACTGTTTTAAAGCAGTACTTGTAATATAAAGCCCAATTTCTCTGATCTCCTGTGTGTATGTTTTGGTGGTGGTGGGGAGGTGGAGAGAGAACATCAGTGTGCTATGTATCCTATATCTTTCAGTAATATTAAATCAAACAACCCACAGATTATAAAACCACCCACTGCTTCCTTAATAAAGTTAGTGATAATTTCCTTAAGGACTTGTGAGTTCCTCCCTTTATACCTCATGACCACTTCAGGCCACTGGTTTGTTGTTCGTTCTTACTCATCCTTCCTCCAGCTAGAAGTGCAATCTGCTCTAGAATAGTCATAACTGTGTCACTTCTGTAAGTTAGAATAGCTGTTCTGTTTTCCATTGAGCATTTGTCTGGCTTGAAACTGCTTTTTTAAGGAGAGCACTAATACAGTGGCTGTGAGGCTCAGGCATGGTAGATCCCTTAATGGTGTTGTGTGGATGTGAGTATCATCCTGATGCTCAGGTCCATTCACAGACTTGGTCACTTGTAGAAGATTTTGGGAATCTAGGTAATTTCTGATGCAGGTTTTGCAACTTCCTTGATCCATGACTTTTTATCACAACACCACAGCCTCAACAGGTAAGTACATGATGTTGTGGGAGAACCCTGAATCAGGAACCACATTTCACAGAAAGAATAATGACTACTTTGTCTGACTTTTCTTAGCTATACCAGATTCTCTTTTGAATGACAAAATTTGCTCATATTTATGGAATCCTATGAATTGTTTGAGTCCATAAAATCAGAGTAAGCATGGCCTTTTCCTAAAATATTATTTCTATGCCAAGAGAATATTCAAAATTTTTCCATTGCTTTTTTAAGATACACAGCATATTATTATTTTCTAGTGTTTTACACTCACACTAAAATTTATAATAATGTATAAAGTAATTTCAGTTTTGCATGTAAAGTTACAAACCAAGTGGTTGACATCTGAATGACGTAATGGTGGAAATCACAGATGCCGTGGTATTTTCCAGCCAGTGGATTAAGTATGTGTCACTTCAAGTAAACATCACAAATACACAGTAAGATGGATAGAGTGTCTCTGTTCTGTACAGGGGGAAGCTGTAGCAGGGAGAGCTGTGAGATCTCCTAAAGCTCCACAGAGAACGGCAGAAGTTGGACCTCAGCCTGTTAGTGTGAGCAGTTCTGCTCTCACCTAGGACAGCATTTGTTTGTAGGATGGAAACAGGCTATTCTTCAAGAAAACCTCATTTAGGTATTAGGCTCAGAGTGGGTGGGTGAAGGAAACAACCTCCACATATCCATGTTTCCTCAAGTTAGAGCTCATATTTTTAACTTAAAAGGAAAAGGTTTCGGGTTTTAAAAATCAACTTCAGTTTCTGTGAAACCTAGCAGAGGTTTTATGGGGAAAAACCAAACCAACCAACCAAACAAACAAACAACAAACAATAACCAGGCTTATGAATATGAAATTTAATTTAGGTGCTTCTGAACTGAAAAGATGTCTTCAGCCCCAGTTCCTGGCCTCTAAACAGAGACCTGGCTTTGTCTGCAAAAGGAAACATGCCGTGCCTGGAAACTGATAATCAAGAAGACTTGTGGGGTTACTATCACTGACTGGTAGCACCAAGCTGTGTCTCATGTGGTATAAAACCTCTTAGCACCCTCCTGCTGCAGTCCACCTGGGCAACCTGGAGTCTTGGGTGTGCAGAGAGTGAGTGCTAGGGGCAGGGAAATGGAGAGAGAATATCCTGTGGCTAATAGCAGTTTTACTTTCTCAAGCTTCTTCTGTTTACCTGCTCTGTCATGTGGTTGCTTCCTGGAAAATGGTTAAACTCAAACCACCACTGTTTGGGGCAGCACAAGATGTGGCTAAGGTGTTAGACAACAAAATAGGAGCAGTTAAACCACAGTTGGTTCCGCCTGCTTCCAAAAGACCATAGCTATGAGAGAGAAAAACCTCCAACTCTACACAGTGGAAGTATGGCCTCAAACTCAGTCTCTGTGCTGATGAAGGCTGGGCTTTTGTGACTGGTGTGCACAGAGCTCAGCTGCTGTGGGGATTGGAATCTGGTTCCCTGTTCTTTTCTCAAGAGCTTGAAGTTTCATTTTCTTAGTGGAAAAAAGGAATAAGGCTGTGTCCTGAGCCAAGTAGCACAGGAAAATGAAGATGTGGGCAAGAGCAACATACTACAGGAAGTCAAGGAATGCCCTAGGTTCAGTTGTGTTAAAGTATCCATTGAATACTAGTTCAGAGGAAATGTTATCAGAGTCACCTGAGAAAGGCATAGTTGAAGGATTAACTTAACTATCAGGTAAATGAAGGAGTAGACTGAGAAAAAAAATGCTCAGAAATTTGAACACAGAAGGAAACTATCTCCAACCCTGTTACACAGACTGGGGATAGAGTGGTCAGCAGATACTTGGCCTTACATGTCTAATCCCAGCGAAAGTGTAAGTACAGATGAAGTTTTCACAGTCTGATGACACAGAACAATTGAATCAGATACTGTGATAACCTTGTGCATAATCAGAGCCAACATCTATACCAGGCTGGCTGCCTCCTAAGAGGATTGGTTTCATCTATTGGCTCTGCACGCAAGCACTTATCTCAGCAGAAATTGATAAGGTGATGTTTCTCTTACCCATAGCTGTGGGCTTGAAGTATGTGCAGCTCTATTACTGAGACAGTAAATTGTCACAGAATTAGGCCTATCTGGTTCCTGAGGTCCTGTCCCAAGAAAAACACTGATGAGTTCTCTCTATTCTGATGAGGAATGTTGTTTTATATACATACATACATACATACATACATACATATATATGTATATATATATGTTTGTCTTATTAGTTGAAGAATAAAACACTGCTTGGTCAGGCAGGAAGTGACTTAGCATGGCAGATTCTGCCACTGGCAAACCATAGAGGTCTGGAGGTCTGTACAGACAGGCAGGAAGTGATGTAGCTGGGCAGAATAGAGAATATAAGCAGGGACAAACAGGAAATCTCTCTTCTCTGCAGAGATGTAGCAGGCAAAGAAGATTCCCAGTAAGCCAAGACCACGAGGAGATATTTAGATTGATAGATATGGGATAATATTTAAGACAGAGCTAGCCAATAAGAAATGCTAATAACTGGCCAACAGTTTTATATTAATACGGTGTCTCTGCATGTTTTTTGGGGCTGACATGGCTCTTGGACCAGGCTGGCAGGAAAGTGCACGCAACACTATTCTTTTTACCATGAGTAGCCCTCGGCTGCACCTCAGCCTCACTGTGGTACTGCTGATGTGATCATACAATCAGAGCTGCACAGATGCAGGACTGGATCTGCGTAGAAACTGTTTTCACCCAAACCTGCAGCATCACTGCTATATAGTCAGCTTTCCTAGAAAGACACAGCCAATGATGGAGACTCGTAGTCTGCTTTTCTGGGAACCAAAGGGTGATTATTCTTTTATATTTAGAAACTACCTAAACGTGCAGGAAATTGATAGCAGTGCTTTCTTGGGACTCTTGTTAGAAACTTGGGACTCAGTTAGAATACTGCAGGACACATCATAAAAGCACATGGTTTCACATTATAAACAATATAAAATAGCAACACTTTACATTATTCTCAATCTCTCCTCATCCCATTTCATATTTCTAATACTTTGTGCCAAATAAATTATACAAAGAGAAATACAGCTAACTGTTTGATTTGTTAAATTTATTACATTATAAAATTATACAAAATGAGCTGGGTGGTGGTGGTACCCACCTTCAATCCCAGCACGTAGGAGGCAGAGGCAGGCAGATCTCTGTGAGTCCAAGACTAGCCTAGTTTACAAAACTACACAGAAAAACCCTGTCTCAAAAAACCAAATATATATATATATATATATATATATATATATATATATATATATATCCTAAGCATGAGTATTTAAAAAAAAAAACAAGTAAAAAGTAATGGTTATAGAGTTGTTGTTTTTTTTTTTAATTTCAAAATAGGATTTTTTTTTCTTATTTTACTTATCAATCTCAGTTCCCTCTTCCTTTTTACCCTCCAATGCTCCTCCCCCCCCCATCCCATTCCCCATTCACTCCCCAGGGAGTATAAGGCCTTTCAGGAGGGATCAACAAAATCTGTCAAGTCATTTGGAATAGGGCCTAGGCCCTCCCTCATGTGTCTCTAGGCTAAGGGAGTATCCCTCTGTGGGGAATGTGCTCCCAAAATCCTTTTGTGCACTAGTGATACATCCTGATTCCACTGTCAGAGGTCCCATAGACTGCTCAGGCCTTCCAACT